CAACTCCGTTGCAGCACAGAGCACACGGTCCTGTAACTTCGCTCTCAGGCGTCCGCTGGAAGCTCTTCTAGGCAGGGATGGAGCCCCATTGAGTAGGCACTGCTTCACCTGTGCAGTTCCTGACTCAAAGGGGAAGGCTGTTTACAGAATGAATAAATGAACAATTGTTGTGTACAATGCAGCCCTTCCAGCCCACTCATTCCCTGGGGCTGGGGTCTCCTAGCACTCTCACAAAGCAGGGTCAGCCCCCACAACTCTGAAAGGAGGACTCTGCTTTATGGGCCTGGTTCCAATTATCCTCCAAGATGCTGACCAGGGTGACAGTGACCCCTCAGATGCACAGGTGTAGAAGCCCAGGGGGACAGTACGGGGTGTGCAAGATGGGGCGGGCCTGCCAGCAACCAGAAGTGGCTTTTCCCATTGGAAACAGGAACACTGGAACAGCCGGGATCCCAAGCCCAAGGGGCCGTCAGTGTCTGAGGTAGCCTGTAGTTGGAGGTCTCTAGCTTAAGAATTTTTCTTTAAGGATACAGAAAGTCCCACTGTGTGCATAAGAGGAATAGAATTTCCTCCCCATGAAGCGCTCTTCTGGTGGAGTCCTGCTTCCTGCTTGTCTGGGCACCAGACTCCGATGGCTTCACCCTGGCATCTCCCTGCACCTGAAGGGCGGTCTTGTAAGGTCTCACCCGACCCCTTCAGTTCTCCTGTCCGCAGCTGCTCCTGAGGCCAACTTGGCTCTACAGTGACCACCACCACTGGCAAAGGGAGCCATAGCAACCAGGAAGGGAAAGAGCCACCGGGCCCTGGCCGCATAGGCGCTTCTCAGGGACACAGACCCATCAGCCATTGTAGAGCTCCGAATCCTCAGGTTTGTGTGGGGACCAAGAGGCAGGACTTGGGGGAGCAGCCAGGGTCTCTTACCCTAGTTCCTGAGGAATCCTTAGTACAAAGATTTCAAGGAACCTGGAGTTTCACACCAGCCGCAGTTCATATGTGACCCACTTGTGTCCCAATTCCTGGTGTTTTTTATTTTCATTTCCTTGTATCTGCAGTACTGGGAGTTGAACCAGGGATTTCACCCTGAGCTGGATTGTTGTCCCTTTTTATTTTATTTTTTTCACTAAGTTGCCTGGATTTTCTCTCTGACTCGATGCTGTTCTTGTCTTTCCTCTCTTCACCATGCTTAGTTCCAGAACAGGACAGTTCCGCTTTTCAGTGACAACCATGGTCAAAATGCCATCACTCACCAGCCCAGTACAAAGCACCCTCGAAGCCACTGTTTCCTCTGCTAATGTCTCTTCAGCACCCTTCCTGGTGACACAGTGACTGACAGCAGGGCCTGTGTTTACCTGATGATGTAGGTCCAGCCCCGGCAACTCCACCACACCCTGAGGTGCCGCTGAGCACTGACAGGACACATAAGCAGGCACCTGGCTGTGGCATCCAACAACACTGCCTGGCTCCTGAGGTGGAGACAGCAGAGGAGCAGCAGCGTATTCTTCCTCTTCACATTTGAGATCATGGGATGTGAATGTGGGCTCCTCCCTGCCCCAAGTTCTCTACAGTGACTGCCAATCCTGCTGCCCAGGACAGAATGATGTAGGGACAGAGACCGAGAGGGCCAATGGTATGGGAGGAGGAGGACAGGGACACTGGAGAGGCTGAGGAAGCGAAGCTTGAAACTGGGCTTGCTGCTGGGCTCACTGAGCAGTGTATGTGTGGGGGTTTCTCACACAGGGTAAAGAGGACATAGTCACCTTCAGAAAAGGTAAGTGACAAAAAGGAACATCCACTGCTGGTCATAAAAAAGATGCATGATGAAAAAATACAAAGATCTATGTATCGTAGTTGCTTTTTTTCCTGTATTTTAGGGAAGGGTCTACAGGGTGTTCAGGGTCTCACACTAGACTAGACACATAGTGATCCTCCTGTTTACAGCCTCCCAAGAGCTGGTATTACAGGTATGTGCCACCATGCCCAGTCCCAATTGCTGTCTCAGCACACCCCAGGGGTGAGACCGGCACGGCAGGCCCGGAGATCAAACCCCAGGTCCTTACTTACAGGTGATTTAATCCACTGAGCTATTTGGCCGGCCCCTATGTATCATAGTTTCAAAGGGACTAGTGTACCTTTTAAAGATGTGATTTGCAATTTCTACCTTATTTGTGACTTTCCTTTCTTGAATAAAAAAAGTGGTTATAGTAATAAAAAAAAATGCATGATGCATTTTTGGACACAAGTCAAGTTGGCCTCAGCTTTTATATCAAAATATATTCATCAAGAAGAACACCAAACTGAGAAGAGGACTCTCAAGTACTGCAGTATACTTTGACATGACTTTTTGGATGTTTTTAAGACAGGGTCTTGCTATGCAATTCAGGCTAACCCTGAACTTTCTATGGAGCTCAGGCCGGCCTCAAATACATGGTGATCTTCCTGCCTCGGCATCCCCTGTGCTAAGATTCTAGGTGTGTGCCACCACACCCAGCTCCCTTTTCAACCTTCTCATTACAAGTAGTTGGCTACGGATGTCGCAAACAGAATGTGGAACCCAGCACTGACTGCTGCCTGGACACTGCCCGCTTCTGGGAGCCTTCCACACAAAAGGAGGCTGCAGAGAGGGCCGCTGTTGGCCTGAGTGGTCAGTTATGGTGTGGCTTTTATTAGGCTGACTTTTCCAAGGCTAGCAGTGCCCGGGGTGGGACCTGGACTCAGCCCTCGCTGTGCAGGAGTGACCCAGCCAGGTGCAAGGATGATGTTCAGGTGGGGTCCTCCGGGATGTTACTTGGTCTGTGCTGATTGGTCCTCAGGAGGAAGGGGCTGGTCCTCCTGGGAAGAAGCCCCAGGCCACCTCAGGAGGTTTTGGCAGGGTCTTTAGATTAGATCCAAAACTCCAAAGAGTTGTGATCTCAACCATCAGGATGTGATCTGACTACCTTGGGGAGTTGGAACAAAGATTAAGAGAGGCTTCCCAAGCAGAGAGCCATGGACTCAGGGCTCAGGAGCAGAAAAAGCACTTGGGTCAGAGACTGGGCACACAGTAGCCATCGATAGCCTGATACAGAAGTGGTGGCCATGCCCATGTCACAGATGCAGAAAGCCAAGACCAAAGAGCTGAAGGTGACACCCAATAATGTGAAATTTGATACCAAGCCTTCTGGAAGATTTCTGCGGGGAAAGGTGCTGACATTTCTACACCCAAATAAGAGTCCTGAGAGCTCAGCAGGCAAAGCTGCCTTGTTCAGTGAGGAAACAAGTGTCCCGAAGACTGATGCTCTTTTGACACATGACACACACACCTGTCTGTCCCTCCCTCAGGATGGAACCAGGCTTAAGAGCACAGGAACTCCACGGACAGCGCCCGCCTTCTCTTTGGGACCTGCTGATAACTGTCATGACAGAGTGCATTTCTCCACAGGGTGAAGAGAAGGCAGGAGTGCCCGCAAGGGGGCCACAAGGGTGGGGCCAGGAAAGTCACACTGAGCTTTTTGAGGACACAAGATGTTGACACTTTTAAACAGGGAAGCAGCATGATTGGTCTGTGCTTTAGAAAATTCCCCTGGGGGTAAGAGGCACACAGAAGGCGGGACAGGGCTCTGAAGGCCACAACAGTCCAGGGGGCAGTGTGAGTGCCAGAAGTGACAGGGCTGAGGGTTGAAGCTGAGAGGAGCTGGTAACCAAGCAGACATGGGAGGGATGGGAATAAGAAACGCTCCCAGACCCTGCAAGGGCTACATACGCATAGAGACCAGGCTCCCCAGCCAGGTCAGCAGTCCTGTGGGCAAAAAGCAAAGGACCCCATGACGCACACATAAAGTAATGACTGCTCATAAACACCAGAGTGAGATTAGCCATGGTTATCAATGAAGGCAAACACTAGATACAATCCATGCAGTTGAATCAAGTAAGTTTCTGCGCCATATTTGAAAATAACAGGAAAAAATGAAGCCCATAAATCCCTCTCACAAGACACAAAGCAGCTGCTACACTTTAGCTTCCCTGGCGCAGCCGCCCATTGAGGAGTGGAGACCTTGAGGACACCCCGCGGCAGGGTGGCTTCTGTTCCCTCACTGTTTCTGTCCCCTCCCCACCTTTTTAAGCAGGCAGATTTACCACTGGTCAGTAAGAAATGGCTGAGAAGAAAGAGGGGCCAGGAGAGGGCGATTCAAGGGCAGAGGGGCAGGAGGGGTCAAAGCGCAACCACGCTGGCACAAGAGCCTCGAGGGTGGAAAGCACTGATCGGGCCTTGCTGATGTTCCCTCCGTGGGATGTGTGGGCGGGAAAGGTCACGAGGACCAGAGTCGCTTACCATGTCTCAGATGTAGGCAGCTGTCAATCTGGGACCTGTACCTGCAGAAAATTGTGTCTTTAACAAATGTTTCTGAAGAGGTTTCTGCACATTCCAAACACGCAGTAGCTACAACACCACACGGGCTCATTTGCCGTGCCCTGTCTGTTCCCATGCCAGCCATCCGTACATGTGCAGGACACGGAGTGGCCTTATTCTCAATGCCAGAAAAACAGGGACTAATGTAGCACTTGGTCGATGTGTCAAATCAGTGCATGAGAAAAGAGCAACCCTACAGTCGTGGCTTCCAGTCTTAAAAACCCAAATCAGAGAAAAGATTTGGCCAGTGATACAGGGCAGCATCTTGTGTAATTATTATAAAGAGTTACATGGTACAGGGCAAACAGAAAAAAGCAAAGAGTTAAAGCAAAGAGAACACAAGCAACAGAGAAAATATAGAAAGAGAGAGAGGGAGACAAAGCAAAATCAACCATAGTCCCCAAGCAGGATTCCAGGTGACAGGGTAGAAAAGACTGTCACACATTCACAGGGCCCTTCACACAGCCATAGTGACAAGAAAGGTCTCCTCGGAGAGTGTCAGGAGGAAAAGCAGAGTTAACACATGTGACAGTCACAGGCTAAGCAGCACATAGGTGGTGACAAGGCGTCTGGCAGAAGCGTGACAGTGGCCGCAAGGTCCCGTGACACCTACCTGATGCAGATTCCTGCAGCTTTTCTCTCTTCCTCTTCTTCTTCTTACCCTGGAAGGAGAGGGGCATGGTCAGGTCAGTGTGTAGCAGAACCTGGGGACAGGCATGTCAGGAAAGAACAAAGAGGAGGCCACCATGTCTCCATCCTCACCCCATGCCCAGAGGCCATCAGTGTGAGTGATGGACAGAGCACGTGGACTCCCTTGTGGCCTTTGTTCCAGTGTCCTGTGCACACTCTCAGTATGGACACTCTGTGCACCTGACGCTCTGTCACACAGCAGTGTCCAGGGCTGCGGCCTTAGGGACAGCCAACCTGGGGAGGCGAGACCTGCTCTTACTGATGCCACACTCGGAACCAGCCTGCAAACACTCAGACTCCAGAGAGAGAGCCACACATCAGCGAGCCCCCTTCTCCGGTGGCAGAGCCACGGCTAGCTGACTTGTCTGAGCAGGAGGAGCAGCCTCCATGGGAGCCGCAGCTCAGGCAGTACACAGCTCACACTCGAGCCGCTGGCTGACGTCTCCCACCATTATCACACCAACCAATCTCAAGAGACACAGCTGGCAGTCTACCTAAGCACGCAGCATGGCTCCGTAAGAGCACATGCGCAGGGTTCTCCTCACATTACTCAGTAGGCTGTGAAGCTTCAGAAAGGACCGAGCCTTTTCCTGAACGCTCTAGTTCCCCAAGGAAACCAAGTGTATAAAACCTGGGATCCCGGGCACCAGGCAGGTCAACAGCAGAACACCGAGCCTCGCATTTAACGCGGCTCACTGTCAGCTGGCAGTCGGGCTTCCACTCTACACTCTTGTCCCGCCTGCCCTGCTGCTTCAGGTGCAGCGCCTCTAGCCCAGGTGACTGAGCCCCACCTGCCTCCTGGCGGAGCAAAGACTGCAGGAAGGAAGCTGAGCCCGCCTCTTCCTGAAGGCACATGCAAAGCAATTCTTAGAAACTGTGCAGGGAGAACTTGAAAGGTAAACTCAGGTAGCACTCGCTTTCTTTAAAACTTTCTCTTCAGACCAAGCACTGTGGCATAAGTGAGTAATCTCAGCTCCCAGGAGACTGAGGCAGGAGGGTCACCCAGGCTACATGGTGAGTTCAAGGCCAGCCTGGATTATCTAGCAAGACTGCGTAGGGTAAAATATTACTTTCTTTTCATTTGTACATAGAAGAGATGAGAGAGCAAGACAGAAAAAGGGTGAGAATGTGTATGTTTCTTCTATGTCTTTAAGTTAAAGTCATCACTTAAGGATTGGAAGAGATTTAAAGACAGCAAGCAATGCACAGTCCCTGCTAGTTCTGGGCACAGCAAAGCTGTGGTGGTGGTGAGTAGCACTCTCTTTTCTTCTGGTGACTGGGACAGGATTAGGAGCAGCCCTGGAAACTGTGTAAGGAGCTGCTCTCCCACTGCAGGGACCACAGGCTGCATGGAGAGCTAGGAATTATGGCTTGGAGCCCAGGAGCCGGGCTCAGGGCAGCATCTCTTGCAGGCTGGCTTTATAGGAAGCACAGAGAGGCACAGCTAACAGCTCAGGGAGAATGAGTGTGAATGGCAGCTCAGGCACCTGCTCTCCCTTCCTCACCAATGCACCACTGGAGGGCCAGGATGAGCCAGTGGGCAAAGGGTAGTGATCAGGAGAACTTGAAAGGTAAACTCTGGTAGCACTTGCTCTCTCTAAAACTTTCTCTTCAGACCAGGTGCTGCAGCTCCCAGGAGATTGAGGCATGAGTCACTCAGGTTAGCCTGGATTATCTAGCAATAATCCAGATTATTGTTCAAGGCCAGCCTGGATTATCTAGCAATAATCCAGGTTATTGCTAGATAATCAGCTCCACGGCCAGGGAACAGACTTGCTTACTCATAGGCAACACCCAGCAGGCATGCACCTTGCTTCACATGCATTGGCAGGGTCTCAGTTCCAACCCTGAGCAGCATGTTACCAGAAAGGCACCGCGCATAGCCCTTGCCATGTGGGTTTTAGAAGTTTGGGGTTTTAGGTGGAATGCATGGGCTTTGAAATGTGCCCTTGTCACTAAATCTGTGGGGCCAGAAGCCCACAGGCCATCTAGAGCGAGGACAATGAGCTAAATTACCTGCTGAGCAATAGCCTCCTCTTTATTCTTTTTAAATTTTTCTTTCTGTTCATTAATTTTTGGCCCAAGACAAAGTCTCGCTTTGTAGTTCACATTCATCCTGAACTCACTATGTCACTTTGCCTTCAAAATTGCAGAGATCTTCTGCCTCCACTTCCCAAGTGCTGAGATTACAGATGTGTACCATCATGCCTGGCCTTACCTTTTCTGGAAGGGATAATTTCATTTATACCAAGGCTTTCTTGGCTGGCTTTCCCAGGGTTAGCCTCACATGGGCTATGAGCAGTGTCGCAGATGGGAGGTCTGTGTTCCCATAACTGCTAACCCTGAATGAAAGCAGGTAGCAGCCTCGATTAGGGTTCAGCCCTCAGAAAAGCCATCCACTACCTCTGTTACACAGGGGAACTAAGAAAGAGATGGGATGGCTGCCACTGGACATGGAAGTTGCTGTGTGTGGGTTAGAGTTTCGTCTGTAGGACTTCAGGGACACATTTCTGTGGCGTGCAAGCCCTCTGTCTACTGCATATCATTATAGCAGCCTGAGAACGATCTGTAGAATTTTAAATTATTCAAAGAGCTCAAAGAATCAAAATTTTTTCTATAAAGTGATCAAACTTCAAGTCCATCATTTGTAATGTGCTTCACAGACAACTGCCCTTGCCACAGCAAGATGTCATTTGTGATGAGGTGCATTTGTGAGGTTCCCGCTTCACAGCAGGAAAACGGCAGCAGGAAGGAAGTGGTTCTTGCCCATAAAATGCAACTAGTACCAATTACATCTGATAATACCTGCTCTGTCTGAATAAGACACAAAATAGCTGCCAGGGTGCATTAGTAGAGAATAAAAATTGTTTATAGTTCTGATTTATCTGTGGCCAAAAAAAAAAAAAAAAAAAATCACCTGAACACATTGTTTATAAGAACTGTAAAGTAATATAATCTTTTGAAAAGAAATTTGACAATATGTGTCAGGAATTTTAAAATATTTATGTCTTTTAATGCAAAAATTCCATGGCTACAAATCCATGCAACAGGGGAAATCTGTTTGAGTACACATGTTTATTGCAGGACTATTTGTATTTTGAAGGAAAAAAAAATAGAAAATATACGTGTCTAAAAGCAGAACAGAATGGTGAACTAATAAACTCTATGCCATAAAAGATGAATGCTTCATGTATATATACACATATAGAAATGTGACATAAAATACATGTATATACACAGTTAAGTCCAAGTTAAAAGTAAAAACACCTGAAAAAATCCTGGGATGTAAGGCCAACAGTTATAAATATCATCTTTATCCACCCACATTTACTTTCATGATAAGTCTTAAAAGCCTTTATTTCCTAAAAATGAATTAGCATCCCCAGGAAAATCGACACACTAGTTCACGGTTCTTGTGACACCGCGCAAGGGGCTGAAACCCGTACTGCTGAGTTGGTTAGTTTGCAAACACGGGAACGAGGTGGTGGGCGCTCTAACCCGCAAGTCCCCTGTGCAAGGCGGGAGGGGGCGCGGAGGGGCTGGGGATGGGGGGAGCGGCTTACGTAATTGTCTCTCGCAGACCAGCCCGGGTACAGCTGCATGTGGAGCTGTCTCTCCTTGCGTGCTAATTCGTAATATTTAGCCTGCTCTTCCCGAGACAGGGCGTGCCACTGAAAGGGAAAGCAGGGAAGAGGCGGTGAGTAAACGCAACGCCGGTGTAGCGCATGCGTGCTTCAAAAGGGGAAAGCTGCACCGATTAAGCGCTGAAACCTCCCCTGATTTCTACGAGGCAAGAGCCCAAGCTGGCACTGGAGGAAAGGCCCAGGTGGGCTTCTCTTTCCTGTTCTCTGATGTCACCTGAGATGCAGCCCAGGGGCGCAATGAAAGGTGCTCTCCAGCCATGTAAGGTAAGAACTTGATGCGGACGTGCCGCCCCCAACCTCGCCTCTCCCCAAAATGGCAGCGGTCGGGACGCAGGTGTCCAAGCCCCAGCTCCACGTCCTGCTGAGCGCTGTGATAATTTTCAGACATTGTCTGGGGCACCCACACCGCTCCTGCTCCACACTTCTGCTTGATCCTGGATGCACAAACTGCATCGTGTGAGCTTGTCTGGTTGGACACCAGAAGCCAGTCTGTCTCCGTTTCCTGTCTCTTTCCGCTCACACATACATGTGCGCGCGCGCACACACACACACACACACACACACACACACACCCCTACACAGTCTCCCTGGGCACACTGACACCACTGTGCTCGTGCACAGCAAACTTCTGACTCCGGCTTTTGCTTCCCTCTGCTGGGAAGCTGGCAGTGTGACCGAATGCTCTGGCACCTGGCACCAGAGAACAGCTTCCGACAGGGGAGGGCATGCTGCCGCTGCTTTTCAACTCTTTTCTCACAGTGGGTCTGATTCTGCATCACAAATAACAAGGCAGCCCAGGCAGGCGGCGCTGGGGAGGTGTGCGCTGCAGGCCGCTCTTCACCTGCCAGCACACAGCGTGTGCAGGTCCCACCCAGACTCCTCGAGTGTCTGCCCTATCTCCTGGTGCCACAGAGCCTCCGGGAAGTGTCTGGATTGGGAACCCAGCGGCAGAGAGGGAAGGCTTGGAGGTGGCAGCCAAAGGAGAAGGAGCCCTGAGCCTGAACTTTAAACCTCAGGCCCTCCATGCAAAGCACCAGTTCCTGGGTGTGGCCTTTCCCACCCTGCTTTCTGCCCAGCCTTGGCTGCCTTGTGAATGGTTTTATTCTCACTGACCTTGTTTCTAAAAAAAATGATTTAAAATAGGTAAAGTCAGTATGGTGGCACATACCTGGATCCCAGCACTCAGGAGGCTGAGGCAAGAGCATCAGTGTAAGTTGGAGGGCAGCCTGGGCTATACACTGAGATCAAGACCAGCCTGGACTACAAAGTGAGACCCTATTTCCCCCCAAAATTTGTTTTTAAATTAAGGACAGAAGGTGGAGTCCAGTGGAGGAGGAAAAAGAAGGAGGGAAGGGCAGAGGCGGGTGACGTAATCGGTTCTCCTGGAGGAGGCCACATGGAAGTATGTGTCCACTGGGACTTCCCCCTGGGCACGTGGGGGAAGCTGAGGTTTTCCTTGGGTGGAGGTCCAGGTCCGGTCCGACATCAGGACGGGAAGCTGGGCGTCAGGGGCTTCCTCCAAAAGTCCCCAGGAGTCAGGCCTCTGTGCGGCACAGATGCAATATTTATTTTGTAATTGCTTTATAAGTGCAGAGGGGCAGCTGAAAAGTGAGGCCCAAGGGTGGGACCCCGTGTGCACCCAGTCCAAGCCAGGCAATAGACATGCTTTGGTTGACAAAGTAAGTTGGAAGGAGGAGGAGGCCAAAAAGAAAAGCAACCTCGAAGAGAAAAAAACAAGTGTAACCCAGGTCTCTGTGCTCCAAAAACCAAAACTGGACTGACGGAGCTTTAAGTCACCCTTGGTGGCCAATGTGGAGGCTGAGGCAGGAACAGCCCCACAGCCTGCAGCCACTGATAGCCATGAGTCCTGAGGGCTGAAAAACAAAGCCCCAGGTACCAGGCCACCCACTGGATGGGCCAGAAAATGTGAATCACTTGGGTTCTCACCGGTAGCTCCAAACAAACAGGACTGGCAAGAGGAGGAGTTGTCAAAAAAAAAAAAAAAAAAAAAAAATCAAAACAAAAGGCAAGAACTCAAGAGAGAAGTCCTCCGTTTAGAAGTGTTCGTTCACTCTTTGCACACATGCTCTTCCCTGTACGCAGCACCTTTTACTATTGCAGTGCGCAGGATGATTTGGTGTGCACGTTAGAACTTGCTGAGAAAAAAGCGAGCATCACACATGAAGATGAACTCCCACAGCGCCTATCACGGCCAGGTCTCTTTCCTCTTGCTTCCTCTAACACAGGGAAGCAAGGCTGGCAAAAGACCCCAGCTGACCAAGCTGGGACAAGCACGAGGAGACAAAAGCAGGCACAAACTCAGCTGTTCCCTTGCAGTCCCAGGTTGTGTCTGGATGTCACCCCAGAGCCTCCCACGGTCATGGGAGGCTGGCTTTTCGAAGGTGGCTGAATCGAGAGTTTGTGATTGGTGCCCTCGCCCTCAGGCTTACAGCTTGCATACTATGTAGGGGACAGAAAGAGCCAGCCCATTATGGACTGAAACCTCTACAAACTGTGAGCTACAGAACCCTTTTCTGCCTGTGACAATGGGCACTGGGTATTTTGTCCCAGCAACTAAGACACCTTCATTCTCAATTGCTTCAGTGTGCTGATATTTCTAATGCACAAAACCCACTCACAAATAAAAGATCTCTGACCAGACTGAAACACTGGGGAATAAAGCCAGACTAGGAAGATGGTCTTTCCTTCCTGGAGTCTCTAAAATACTCTTATACCTCTTTACTTACTGAAAACTATGAAGTTTTTAAGACATCAAATTTCATGATCAAAGTTTTCACCAAACTGTGAGGAGAAATGCTCAGTTAAATTTTTTAAAACTGATATAGCTCCCTAATTCTTTCAAACCATAGACTTGAAGCCAATGGACTTCCTGAAGGAACATAAACGTCTGAAAAGTAAAAGCTAATGTTAAAATACAATGTATGCCATCTGTATTTATAATATGAATTGAGAAAACTTTGATTAATTTACGAGCAGGAACATTTCTATTTTAGAGAGACAGTAAGGATAAATAAAAGGAGAGAGAAAATGTTCTGGGATGGATTTAAGATCCACTTTTAAGAACCCTAATCATCCCAGGGTAAAACTTCAGGATGCTGAAGCCAGAACTTTGAAGAGCTGGAGAGGCCAGCCCTGCCGGGGGGAGTCAGAGGGGTTAAAAAACCTGACCTTAATCAAAGTGCTCAGAGGCTATAAATAGATGCAGGTGTCTAAATCAAAGACAGAGCGGGGCTCCAAATGAGAACCATCCCAGAGGATGGAGGCGTGGGTCTGGGATGGTTTAGGGAGCTGAGAAAGTAGCAATTGTTGGGGGCCGCACACTAAAAATAGGAAGCACACCCCAAATCATGCCCCACGTGCTCTGGAGCAGGAAAGTAATTCCTGCTGGACAGCCAGGGGCCGTGAGCTCAAAGGAGGAAAAAGAAAAGGCTAAGTGTTATAGGAGCTGAAATAAAAACGTCAGTCCTTCTCATCCTCTGGTTTCTTCTTTTAAAGTGTCAGAGAAAATAGTCGTCGGCGCGTGGGGTTTGAAAGCAGAATTCTTCAAAGATGATGGGATTCGTTCACCTGCTATGATCTGGCTTGGGAAATCGCTGTAATTATTGTTATTAAGTGTTTAAGAATCTGCAGGGAGATGGGACATCAGACCCATGACACCAAGAAATCTATAATCTACTGTGGCACCCTGTGCCGAGAACCCTGGCATCTGGCAGATTGGAAGTTACCCCAGTTTGCAGCTGCCTCTGGGAATCAGTAACTTGGGATTTCTGCCTCCGGCCCTGTGCACTGGCTACTGTCCCCAGGCATCCACTCTTAGGAGCACGTGGGTATCTTGGGTTTGAAACAAATGATGAAGAGCCCTGAGAGTAACACCCACGGGTGCCTCCAAATGCCACGAGGCTGTCAGGCCCCTCACCTGTGTGGGTGAAAGCAGACTTGAGTTTCTTGAAAAGTGTCAGAAACACACAGGCTAGGGCAATGAACGTGGGAAGCCACCACCAGCAGGGGAAGCAGGAGGGAGGGCTCTGCAGATGGGGAAAGGACTGATAGGCGGAGGGAGAGAAAGATGTGCCAGGCGCATGGACCAGTTCCCCACAGGGATGGGCCTCTCTGACCGCCAACACATACTCATAACATTTTTTTTTAAAAGATGAAGAACCTTTAAAATGACAATACAGTTACAGTGAAAGTGTCATTTAAATTAGACAAACTCAAATTTGTCTTGCCACTCTAAGCAAAACCATTCTGCCAGAGGGCTTGGAGGGACAGTCTCACCTTCTGCCCTTGGGTTGGTGTCTGTGTAGCTGTATGTGGTGCCGGGGACAGTCTGGAGCATGGCTCAAAGGGGCAAGAAGGACCCTGGCTCCTGTGGGGGCTGCCCTTTAAGTCCTCACCACAGACCAGTCCTGCCCCCTCCCAGGTAACCCTGAGCCTGTGTCGTGGCTCGGTGGGGCCCCCACTTTACCCCCAAGCCCAATGTTCTTTCCCATGAACCTTACTGGTTATATCCATAGGACTTTTCACATACCATGTATTTATTAGGTGAAGATTTACTGTCTGTAGCCTGTCACCAAACGTTAGGCTCCAGAAAAGCTAGGACTACATCTGTATCATTACATAATGACACACACAATGCTTGGCACATAAAGATATTGTTTTAAAGAATGACACAACCCAGACATGGTGGTGCACACCTGTAATCCCGGTGCTTCAGAGGCTGAGGCAGGAAGATTGCTGTGAGTTTAAGGCCAGCGTGGGCTACAAAGTGAGTTCAAGGCCACACTAAATGGCACAGTGAAACACCATCTCAAAAAGACTAAATAAACAAATAAATAAATAGGACAAAAAGCAGAAAGAATGACTTAAGACACAGTTACTGGTTCAAGGAAGCTGTGTGCCCAGCCCAGCCTGGTTTATAACACTCTCGTCCATCCCCTTTTCTGGGCATTGCCCTTCCTCCCGGCCCTGCTATTTGGTAACACACCTGATGACACCCAGCACATCACAAGCTGTGGGCAGACGAGCACTAAGTGCCCAAGTTACCACCTGCACACTTCTCTGGGCCTCTACTTACCCTCCTGCCGAGGATCTGGTTGATGGCTGCGCTCTCCTTCAGTGTGCACTCGGCGACCACATTGGCCCTCATTTCTTTCATGTACAACATGAATGCATTCAGAGGCTTCTTAATGTGAGGTCTTTTTGGCTCCTGCTCCTTTCTCTGTTCATGCTGAGGCTTCCTAAAAGGTGGAGTGAGGAGGGTGAGGATGAGGCAGGAGGAGGAGGGGCCCAGCACCCGGCTCCCAGGTGAACCCAGACCACCCCCAGGGGCAGCTCCCAGCCTCAGGGCAGGGAAGTGCAGAGCTCCACGCTGCAGTGAGAGGGTGCCTCCAGGTCAGGGTCAGGCCCTGAATGACCAAGTGGCTTGGGGAGGTGTCCCCATCACCTCCTAGCTCCCTGATTCCTCTTTGAGAGCAGAGGTTCCCAAGGTCTAGGGGCCAAGGGCCTTGCTGAGACACTAATGAGATTTCTTTTCTTTTCTTCCTTTCTTTCTTTCTTTTTTTTACCCGAGATTGAACTCAGGCCCTTGGGCTTGCCAGGGAAGTGCTTATTCTACTGAGCCATCTCCCCGGCCCCTACTGAGCTTTCTGACTCTTCTCCCGAACACACACACACACACACACACACACACACACACACGCACGCATGTGCACACACACAGCCCAGCTGCCTATGCACACATCAGTGGAAGCTTCATGGATCAGCACATGCTGCTGCTGTCCTCCACTCCTTGTCCCAACACATACTCCACACTACGAGGAGGTTCAGTTCCTGCTTTTCCAGGCCATCAGAACCTCCTGCCCTCGCAGTCTGAGGCAGCGCCTGTGTGCAGGGACCCTGGGCTCTATTTGTGGTTCTTCCTTGATTTTGGTGCTGCAGGAGCCACAAACTGGGGTCAGTGTGTTTCTGGAAGGCCATGAGGCAAACCTTCTCAGTTCCTTCACTCAGAGGCCCTCCAGGTCCCTAGTTTTCTGGGCCAAGTTCAACTCCAGCAGGGCTCAATTCTTCAGTCTGCTTTGGAACATTCCCACCTTGCAAGGCCATGGACCTCTCGGCTTTAGGACCAGGTCTCCGTGCTGTGCTCAGGGACACAGCCTTCTGGGCAGATGGATGCAGGGCTCAAAAGAGCAGAGGGGGAGGGACAGCAGCGGGTGCTGGACAGGGGTGCCCTGTACTTACACGTGCATTAGGTCACTGTCGGTGTGGGGGTGTTCCTGTTTGACCTGAGGTGTGACAATAGCTGGATGAGGGATGCCAGTTGTGTGGGGACCAGGAGGACCAGGAATCATGTGATGGGAGAACCTACGAGGGAGAGAAAGAGAACAGTGTGTGCGTGGGCCCTGGCAGCCAAAGCCAAGCGCAGGTGGGCTACTGGGGGGCGCACAGCTCTCCATGGAGGGTTAACTACACCTTACTGTGGGCTGAGAGTTCATTTCTTCTTTCTGTATCTAGTTGAAAACATAGAATTATTCTCCATAGTTTTTTTTTTTCAAAACTAAGTAGAGGTTGTTATTTCTCATGGGAGGGTGGTATGTCATGGGATGAGGGAAAAAAATCATTTTTCTTACAAAGCAGTTTTCATGTAAGAATGTAAATAAGAGAAATAATGAAAATATATACCACTTTATTAAGATGTAGCTTTTCAAATGATTTTTAGATGTAAGCGACTGACATCTTATTTAAAAGCCTCAGCCTACATCTGTAAACCACTGCATGAAATTTTCTCACACTGTTGGCCTCCACATTCATGTCAGACAGTGAGGCCTACGGCACGATAGCAGGGCAGGTGAGCAAAGGAACAGGAAGGCTTTCTCTTCATCTCCCATTTCTTCAGGCTTCCAGTCTCAGCTTCTAAACTGTCCTATGAAGATGCAGTAATGTCTGACAGTTCTGCAGTTATAGATGACAGACTCAAGGGAACGACCTCACCTCAGGGAGGTCTACCGTTCTGCACTGAGGTAAAAACTGCGCCTGTGCAAGGCTGTGAGCTGAGGGTGCTTGCACAGAACTGCAGAAGAATCCTAGCAAACCTGTGGCCAGCAAACACAGGGAAGAAAGCTGCTGTATGGGAAAAATGCCGTCCTCTCACAAGAGCCCTGTGGCAACATGGCTGTGCCTCACAGTCTTGCTTTTCAAACTGTTTTAAAGTAAACATTAAATTCCACAAGGACCACAGTCTCAGGTCTTTCATCACGTCCTGCACCATTAATTCCTTCATCTAAGAAGAAACTCTGCCCAGATATGTAATATTCCAGAAACGAATTTCTTTGAATAACAAGGAGGCACGGTAAAAATACAACTATTTGGCCAAAAAATAATGATGCACTGCTACATGTATTATTCTTAAAAATATATGACTGAAATCCCTGCTACCCACAGTTCTTATTGCATCCAGAAGTGTACAAAGGTACTTTAGGGGGTAGCATAATAATTTTGTTTCTCCACCCCAGCCAGCTAAATTGAGGAGGACTCACTAAACAAATCACGTGTACGCGTATGTACACACGTACAACCACATTTTATCCTTCTTTTCTCTTGAAGCTGAAGTTCCCCAAGAAATGGCAAGATTCATGCCCATATGAAAAAGGCAGCTTGGCAGCCTACTAAGAACCCACGTGCCAAGTCCCTGCAGGGGATACTCGGAACCCGGAAAGCCACGCTGCACACACAGACAGGCACAGGAGTGTGTGCGCACCAGCAGGTCGCGTCCTCTCCAGAAGCAAAGCAACACAGAGCAGCCCTCGGTGCACAGCAGGCACTGTGGCCTTGCCAGCACTCAGGGCAGGTCCACACATGCCCTGAGCAATGTGCGCAAATGTGCCACTGCCTGTGGCCCTGTCCCCGTGGTCCTGGGCCACTTACAAACTCTGCTGCATTACGGATGCAACTCTGCTCAGCGGAAGCAAACCCGAGGAAGCTCAGACCCAACTAGTGCGTCCCAGGCCCGCCTGCACCAGGATTGGGTGAGCTCCTCTGGCCACGCCCCCTCGGTTCCCCAGGCAGTGCTGCCACCTGTGCATCGCCCCGCAGTGACACCTAGGGTGGGAGCCAGGCACACAGCACACACACGCAGGCGGGGATGCGCCCTGCTGGCTGGGGCTGGGGCAAGCGGGGCGCAGGATGCAAGCACGAGGGCCACCCCACCTACCTGGACATGGAGGTGTCGACCGACAGGGAGGATGGGTAGGGCTGCCTGAATCCACCCGAGATGGGGTAAACAGGCTGACCTTGCCTGAGGTCACAGAAGAGAGGAGCCGTCAATGACGCGACACCATGGCCACCCAGCACCGGAGTGGGGCGGCATCGGTGGGGTGTCACACACCACCATGTCTCTTCAGACGGGGGACCTCCCCTCCCACCCCCAACCAGATCAAGCTCTGAGCCCCGGAGGAGAGCTTTCCCTCCCTCCATGTGGGAAGCGAGCAGCCTAGCAACACTCATTTTTGTCTTTCCCCTCTCCAGCCCATCAGTACTCTGAAGGAAGTAGGCCCTTCACAAATGTTTACTGAAGCCCCACAAGGTGGCCTATAGCTGTAATTCCAGCAGCTGGGAGGCTGAGGCAGGAGGATCACCATGAGTTCCAGGCTAGCCTGAACTACACAGCAAAACCCTATCTCAAAAAACAAAACAAAAGCTTATTGAGGTGCTGGGGAGATGGCTCAGTAGGATAAGCGCTTCCCTGGCCAGTGCAAGGGCCTGAGTTCAATCCTCGGTTCCGCAAAAAAACAAAAAACAAAAAAAACCCCAAACCCCTAACTTATTGAATGTAACATGGCCTAAAAATGGTGAAATATCCCCTTTCACTTAGTAAACTGAGAATGTGAGAGAAGGGAGGATATAGAATTTTACATTTACATAAAAATGACTAAATACTTCAGAGACACCTTTATCCCCTTCTATCCATGTGCTGAGAGTCAATAAATAAAAGATAACTCCAGTTATTTCTCTCCGTGCAAGAAATCCACCCTTCCCTCTTTTCTTTCTGTTTCTCACATTTATCATTATCGAGTCTATTTCCAGGAGCCAGAGAGGAACTCCGGCAGGATCACTACCTCCAAGTAGCTAAAGACAGACAGAATCAAGAGTGGAGGTGTGAAAGTGTACATGGGATCTCGAGCCCCTTGGCCTTCCCAGCCCAAGGACAGACACAGAGAGTCCAAGTGGAAGACAGGGCCACCACATGCAGCTGCGGGGACAGCAAGCCAACCGAGGAGAGAGACATTTGCTGAAGTCACAGCTCTGTTTTCATGGGGAGAATGGAGGAGGAAGTGGAGAGGCTGGGCCAGGCGGGGGCTGCCTGCCGGTGACAGCAGGCAGGCACAGGCTGCAGCACGCCCCCTACTCCTTCTTCCCACAAGGTATTTCTTTTACCTTTAGAATTTTACAAAACTTGAGGGGAGCAGTGAGAATGTATTTAGGAATAAACAAGCACTACGAAGAAAGAGGAATAGCATTTGGATTCTGAACAAAATGAAGGCCCTGAATTGGCATTTTGCTTCTCTGAACTGGAGTCGGCTACATTCTTTTTTTACATCTAAAAGACGATTTCATTTTGCTGAACCTGAACCTCTCTCTGCTCGGGCATCGGGTGGGCTTTTGTCCACTTGGAAACAACAGTAGTTATACAATGTGCTCAAGTTCATGTTTCAAAAATTTAAGTTGTTAAAAAACAAACAAAAATCCCAGAAAAAGCAAGGCTGAGTACTAACTTGGAATAGGCACAGCGAGTGCCGAAAGCCACAAATCCACTCCACAAAACTATAAGCTTCAAAGCAAAGGCTACACGGTCATTTTCTACCCATATTAGCACGGAGATTCAATCTGTTTCAAAGGCTGTGTTTCTTAATCGTTCAAATTGAAATGAAAGAAACTTAGCGCCTTGCTTGTGGGTGTGAAATCCCCACCACCCCACAAGTGTGAACAACCACACAGCACATTGGCAAAAGGGAAGCCAATGTGTCCAAGCTCTGGCTGGGGGTTGCAGGGAGGATCTTACCAGCCAAGAGGAGGGGTGATCTGTCCAACGCCACTCGGAGACAGGGGGTAGAAGGTGGGGATGTCAGGGGCCGGAGGGTGTCTGGACATGCCTAAGAGAGAGAACAGAGAAGCGGTGTTTGCAGTCCCGGAGCATGTGAGCAGAAGGGTGAGCAAATGCATTATGCCACGAACACATGTGGAAGGTTTAGGGTCTAGACAACATTCTTTCAACAGATCTGAGGAACACAAATCAGTCCGCGAGTTTTGCTGACGATGTCAACATGTGGAAAATCAGGGTCTTCCGAAGCTCCTGGAGAAATAAACTTGCTGCCAGGAAAAGCCATCCAGACAGACTTTTCAAGGATTCTTTTCACCCTCATTTTTTTTTTCCCCTTGGGTGAAAAAAATGGCAGGCAATTGTTCTGGGAAGAAGAAGCCGATGGCCCTTTCTGGTGCTCAAGGGTCAGGTGCGTCACCCCGTTCTGTCTCTGCTGGTTCCATTCTGGGCATGCAGATTTGGGAAGTGCAGTGCCTCAGAGGATCAGAGATTAATTAGGGATCACTAGAGCCCACAATAGTCACACGATAAGATTCATTTCGTCTGTTCCTTCAGCTCTCACTAAGCCCCACGTGCGACAGTGTCCTCTGGGCTCCAAGGTCATGCTGCCCTGAAATAGCTGTGCTCCCCAGGCAAAGAGAGGGCACAGTGTCCCCAAGCGCACTGCTTCGGAGCCATGAACGCTACCCAGAGATCACTTCTAGTCCTTTTTCCAGAGGATCGCCATAGGGACCGCTGACCTTCCGTGTAGAACCCAGCCAACTCCCCCAAACCCACACAGAGCAAGACAACCTCACAAAAGGCAAAGTACAAAAATTCAGATTTGATGTACTTAGGTGAAAATGATTCTGAAAAGAGCGACAGAAGTCACTTGTCACAGTGAATCATGGCTTTGAAAGACCACTGCCGAGCCCATGCCCACCACACACCCAAGTCTTAACACTGACACATAACTATCCCAGCTGATAGGTGGAATCAGGGTGCACACTTCTGAAGAGGCGCTCTGCCTGCCCAAGGTGCCCAAGAGCATCATGTGGCTCCTAGAAGACATGGGAAACCTTGAACATATGGGAATGACTTCAGAAAATGCTGCCTTCAAAGTGGATGTCAATTTGACTTTGAAGTCTGAACAAACTACTTCTCAATTCTTACAGGAAGTAGGTAGAAAGAAGGGAGGTCTTAATCTCTCTCCACATTTTGCTTTTTAAAAAACAATTGTCTCAGCTTGCTACGTGACTTGCTTTCCCATTTGATACTGGATTTAATCAGTTTTACCTGAGCAGTAGTGCTTGTAATCTCATTGGTTGACCATAGTTCTGTCCCACCTCATGCCCACCTAAGCGAGTTCTCATGTCTTCTCCACCTCCTTAGCTCTGCATGGTTTTACACTATAAAAATCCTTGGAAGAGACAGCTTCCTGGGGAACTACCCGCTCGGGCCCCCCCTCCTGTCCCTCTCTCGGGACAGGAGCTTTCTTTCTCTCAATAAATATATTCTGCTCATAAAAAAAAAAAATGCCTCAAATCTCCTTTTCAATTTTTTTTTCCCTACTAATTCTTTTGATTGCAGGGACTCCAAGTTCTACACCCTCAGCTTGTTCTCCTTGGGTCTGGGGCAAAGCTGCAGGAACCTATGGTGGCGACTATTCAAGTCTCAGGACAGGACGAAGGCTTTTTTTTTTTCTTTTTTAATTTGCGGCCTCACTTGCTCTGAGGTCCAGAAATCTCCAAATGTCAGGGTCTGCTGAAGTTTGTAACAAAAAATGAAAATAACCCAACCAGGCCAGCTCAGTAAGACCTTAGAAGCTTAGCAAACAGTTTTATTATATAAGCTTGAAAATCATGGCTAGGAGTCACAGACATGCCGAATTTAATCCTGGTATTTCACAAACGTGGAAAGTAAGGTCTAGGCATGTGCACGGTATGCAGGCATCTTTTTGCAGTACACATAAAATATTTTTTGTTCTGGCACACAGAGAGGTGACCACTTCGGCTGTCCATGCTCCTCTATACCGTATGATACCTCGCTGGGCCTCGAATCCACGGGACACAACTGCAAATTGGTGGGACTTGGGTTTTCTGCTGGGAGGAGCACGCAGGGAGGCAGCATTTGCACCACCCCCACCATACACCAGGTCTGGCATGGGAATTCACAATGAGCCTGCCCCCCAAAACCCTACACATCTTGTTGAAGGCCTCCGTCCCCGGCAGTTTTCTCTTTCACAGCACTGAGAAATCCACCTCTCCTCGTAGTCTCTGCCTACTTATCTGTATCTTTAATATGGAATATGGGTATCAGGTATATCATTTTGCAGTTATTTGTACAAATGACTTCTTATGCATGAACTTCTGGGGAGAGAACCACACGGTACCAATCTGTGTGTCAAACCATGTCTGTCTAAGAAGGAGGCTCTCGGTAAGTACTTCTAAATGGCTTAGCCAACAAACAAGCAAAACAAAGTGTTAAGACAGCCCCTCCCCAGGCTGGGCCCACAGTCAACCTCCTGGACATGTGAGTACTTTGGTCCCTGTATGAGCAAAACACAAAGCTCATCTCCTAAACAACTCGGGACCTTTGTTTCCCTGTGTCCAAAGATGTGTCGCCTCTCTGCCCGCTTCTGTGCCCTGAAGACATGCTCCACACTGCCTGCTAAACTGGCATTTATGGAGCAGTGGCTGCATGCAGCACAGCTTGGCAGATTTCTAAGTAAGTCTGTGAGTGTAAGTCAAATAATTCTGGAGTCAGACTGTGAGAATGTGCCACTCACCAGCTCTGGAACTTTGAGGAAGTTCTTTAATTGTGCTGTTTTGTAGCATCTGAATAGTAACAGAGGTTGTTGTAAGTGTATAGAATAGTGCCTGGTACAAGGTATAAGTGTTTTTGTTTATAGAGATAAAATAGATAATATAAAGATAAAAGCAATATTTGATAAAAGTTTTTTCCTTTTAATAATTGGACCAGACTGACAGGAAGCAGGAAGAAAGTTATTGGCATTACCTTCCTTTCTCTTTCCTATATATACCCATGCTGTGTGTATGTGTGTGTGTGTGTGTGTGTGTGTGTGTGACTAATACAGTGACTCCTAGGGAATTCACCTGAGGTTCTGTTTTTGCACTAACGAGCACCAGCCCCAGGACACACAGCTTGTGCCTACGGCCTAGTTCTCAGGAGGACAGACGTGACTGGGCTGCTCAGACAGGACTGCTGGGCCGGCCCATCTCAGCGCCCTTACACTCACTTAGCTGGGGACGCATGTGCCCCAAAGGCTGGCAGCGGTGCAAAAGAGGCCAATGAGCCTTCTTTTTCCGGCCATGAACGTACACTGGTGGTATTATGTAAACTCAGCATCATGTCAGTGTTTACGACATCCCCAGAGGGACTGGATGTTGAAGCACAAGGGGTGGTAGAAAAATACAGTGGATGTTTTTATTTATTTATTTATTTATTTTATTATTATTTTTATTTTTTTTATTTTATTTTATTTTTGGCAGAACCGGGGATTGAACTCAGGCCCTTGCACTTGCCAAGGAAGTGCTTATTCTGCTGAGCCGTCTCCCCGGCCCCCTAGTGGATGTTTTTAAATTTTACAAAACTTTTTATAGTAAAATAAACTCATGACCACAAATCCCCTCACAGTTTTTGACCTCACTTCAAACACTTAACCCACTGCTCTTGTGCTGTCTGAAGCAGCTTTTCCCTAAGTGTGTTTACAAGGCATGGCCAGAAGCATGGTGCACGCTGCTGCCGTGTGCCGTCCTGCAGACAGGCAGGTCCATAAAGACCTGGTGCTGTGTCCTTGTCCTCCTCCCTCACTGGATCTGGCACTTTGTGACCTCTGGCTCCTGCCCAAAGTAAAAATGATCAAGGAAGGAAAGCGTTTTGAATGGATTCAGGACAGTGAGGCAGCCAGGACAGCCAGCGCAGCTAAAAACACTCAGGCAAGAGGACTCCAGAGCTGCAACAGAAAGTGACAAGAACCGTGGGACGTGCATGTAAAGCCAGGGCTGGGGATTGAGGCGCATTCCTGGCGGGGAGTCTTCTACTGCAATTTTTTTTTTTTAATGTGAGCACATACTGTTTTCTTAACACCTCATACAGCAATCCAAGGATAAATCTATAGTTTAAAACAGGATCTTTACACACCAATAGTAGGTGGAAGACCAAAGTCATAAAAATTTGTAAAGAAAACAAGACTAAAGAGTCAGCAAGCAGACAACTTTTGGCTGCCACTAGTCTCTCCCTGTAGTTCTTCAGCCTTTTTTTTTTTTTTTTTTTTAAAACCTTTGAGAAGCAATGATATAAATTAAAATTCAGCAAAACGAGTTAGGAAATTAGTAGGGATGGAGACTGGAAACATAAATGTGATCGGTAATCAGCTATAAACTTTTATCTTTTTAAAAGGGAACTAAGCCTAAAATTCTCCAGAGGGAAGTTACTGAACCAGAAGTGTTATTCTTTTGAATAAACGCTTCCAACGAGGCCTAGGATGCAGTAAGGACTATTGTTAAATGAATATTTAAATACTGCTGGACTCTTGCTGTTGTATACTTGGGGCTTGTGTCTGTCGTCAGCTCCATTTCACGGCTCCAGGTGGAATCCTGTCCATCACCCAACTCATGCGGCCGGGCCACACTCCCCCGTCAATGCAGCCTCTTCCTGAGTGACCTGTCTCAGCCCCTTCTCCCGCTGCACCCTCAGAAATGTCCCTCTGGTGTTCCTTAAGAAACCTGGAAACATGGGGGCCAGGGAGATGGCTCAATGGAATAAGCACTTCCCTGGCAAGTGCAAGGGACTGAGTTCAATCCCCGGTTCCGCCAAAAAAAAAAAAAAAAAAAAAGAAACCTGGAAACATTTGCAGGTGATTCTTGGCATCACAGCACAAAGGTGCTTGGGGGCACTCAGGTCCCAGGGCAGCAGTGCCTAAGTCTGAAGGAAGCGTTTATTTCAACAGTGGAGGCATTCAAGGCACCTGTTCTGAACAGGGACTGTTACTGTTCTGCAGACACCGCTTGTGTTTTGTTTTGGACAGGGTCTTGCCATGTAGCCCAGGTTGACCTTAAACCCACTGTGATTCTTCTGCCTCAGCCTCCCGAGTGTTGGTTTTCAGAGTTGTGCCACCATACCTGGGTGAGCACCACTTGTTTTTATATGTTCCTTAAAGACAGAAGAGTGAAATGGAGGCAATGGCAAATTCTGCACCTTCTCGTTCTCTGCTTCGGAGATGTTTTATGAGGGCTTTTATCTTGAACTCGGAACACTTTATTAAAGTCCAAGTGTGCAGTGCAGAGAAGCGACTGTCGTTCTGGTGACAAGCCATCTCAGAGGTGGCCCTGAGGACCTGGGGCCAGAGGTTGGGACGAGCAGGGTACTTTGTCCTTCTACCAGCCCATGTCGGGGCACACTGGGCAAACCTGGACATGCAGCATTCTCAGGCTAGACCTTCTCTACTGGGCTGCCTTCTGCACAGGAAGGAGAAGTGGGCCAGAGAGAATCCCCTCTGCTGTCTTCCATACAGAAAATTTTTTGCCTAGTTCTCCATAACAGTGCTGTTAAGTAACAAAAAGAGTGTAACTTCCAGTAGAACTGAATAACCGGAAGAGCCACAAGTGGCTCCAAGGTAACACCTGAAATGACAGTCTCCTACTGTTTAACTACAAAAACGTCATCACCAATGCTTTGCACACAGTCCCCCTTAGCCAAGGTTCTAACAATACTGAGTGGAAAATTCCAGAAGTAAACACTTTCAGAGGTGTTAAGCTGAGCAGTGATCTGAAGAATTCCAGGCAGCCCCATTCTGCTCCCAAGACACGAATCGCCCATCTGTCCCCACGTGCAGCAGCTGGGGTGCTCAGTAGTGGGCTGCATTAGCTCACCAGCTGACCTCAGCCTGACACTGCTGTGCCAGTGTGAAAGTCACCCTTTCTCTACTTGAAAATGGCCCCAAAGCCCACAGACTCATGCTGGACAATTCAGATACAGGAGGAAAATCATGAAATACTTCCTCCAAGTGGAAAGGTGAAAGTTTGGGCTTAATAAGGAAAGAAGAAAAATATGGTGATGCTACAAAGATCTACAGTACAAAAATTCACTTGTGAAATTCCTAAGGACAGGTAGTTTTTGTCGCAACTCAACTGCTTCATTAGGATGGAAACGTGGACAGGTCCCCTCAGGTGGGGACAGGGACAGGGACAGTGATAGAACAAGCCCTGAGGGTGGCGCTACTGTCCTGCTGAAGGGCACTGCAGCATGCTGGGCTGTTCGTTGCATATACAACACATTGGTTTATACTGTGACGCACAGATTTTCAGACCTGTCACTCTACTATGCTTTTCCTTATGTTTAATCCTGACAGAGAAGAGACAATAAGCTTTCCTGGGTCTGTAAAGCTCCACTATCTGGCGAGCTCCTTTTCTCTGGCACAGCCTACCTTTCAATCTTGGCCACGACCCGGGGCAGAGGTGCCAGAGAGTCCCAACTCACAGGGGCCTGGGCCAGTGCTGCTCACCTTGCTTGGAGTTGACATCGGACCGGATGTGTGGCGGGTGTGAGCCCGGAGAGAAGTGCTCGTCGCTGTAGGTGATGAGGGGTGTGAGGGGGTGCACTGCATGCGAAGGCTGCACCACGGGCACTTTGTTGGACTGTAAAGAAAGCACAAGGTCCATGGTTAGTGGGGTGCCTGGCTCTTGTCACCTCTGTCCCGCAAGGTCACCTTAGAGCAGGGACCAGTCATGAATGTAAGCAAAATCTAGAACCACTCCAGGCTGCACGAATGAGCCATCCCAAGGAGACTCCTGTGTTTTCAGCAAATCTGCCCCAAGTCCATGAATGTCCCCAAGGCCTGCAAGACTCAGGTCAGTCACCCAGGTTCCACAACAGGACTGCATGCACACCTATGCTGGCTTACAAGGCCAGTATTATTACTTAACTTGGAAGCAGGAGACTATAGGCCAATAACACTTTCTAAATATCCAGTTTATCCCTTTGGATTTCATCAGCTTGTAATCTATGATCATTCTGATTATAGATAAAGCTGAAGTCCACACCCTCCCCCCCAGGCACCAAGCAACTCAGTAAACAAGACCCTGGTTAACCTGAAGGGACGATTGTTTTAAAGAAAAACTACCTAATATGTTACTGCTATTGAAAAATGCTACAAGAATGGGTTTAAGTGTGCTAACCACAAAAAAAAAAATCACTTTTTCCTTAAGCAGACTCAACTATGCCACAATGCACACATACTGCAAAAAAAATGCATTATACCCAAGAAATAGAATTTTGTCTGTTAGAGAATAAAGAAGATAAAGGAATTCTATTCTTCCTTCTCAAAGAAAAGAGACCGAACACAATTATGTACAGGTAAAGGTCTGTTCTGATGTTAAACCCAGCTACTAATTACAGCAGTCTCCGGAAGGTCTCATTTGGAAGTGCTTCAGTAACAAGTAAAGTGGGTTTAGGAGGAGGAGGAGAGCATAATGAACTCACTGGTTCGGGCATGCCTTTGCCATAATCGCTTTGAATTAGAGATCTGATGGTACTGTGGTCTACATTGTGATGCACAGCTATATCAGAAATTATTTTAGCTATACCAGCAAATATTCATAGTACAAGAACAGTGCCAACAACACCACACAACCCAAACTGGTTAAAGTATAGGTCCCTGTTGGCAATGGTGGCCACACTTATGCTACATTGTGCGCTGATTTTGACTTGGTGTCTTTTACAAATTGCACGTTGAAGTATGTGGCTCCAAGGGCAAGCTCCCCCATCCAGGACAGTGAGGGGCAACCAGCCCAGGAATATGTCTGTCATCCTTGCTTCACACTATCATTACAACCCCAAGCCAGCAACTTGCAGGGGAAAAGGTAAAAGGAGGGAAAATCACCTTTTTTTGGACAATGACAATTTCCATTCTAGATTTTCTTTACTTTGTAATTATCAGCTCCCCTCTAATGGCCAAACTTGCATTAACTCACAGAGCCCTTGGCATTTTTTAAATTGAGTACCATTATCAAAACCACATGGTATTCTTCCACACACCTCAGCACATGCATGCATATAAATGTGTAAAATGTTAAAAAAAAAAAAAAAACCCCACCATCTTTTAATGCTTTTGCAATGTGAATAATGCACTTTGCCAAATACACAGAACAGGGCCCTGAAACACAAGGTATGAAAATGCTGGAGGAGATGGGGATGGATTGGGGCAGGGGCAGGAGGCTATTGATGTACATTCTTTTTAAAATGGAAAAGAGGCAAGATAGTTTAGAAGGGCTGCTCTGACTTTCATTCTGGGAGTCTCAAGAGAAGCCAACTGCCAAACAGTATACGAAGGCATTTTCTTGAGGTGGCTGTAGGTAAGTGCTGTAGAAATCTTGGGGGACCCACAGCACACCCCCACCCTCTGCATGCCTCCCTCATTTCCTGAGCACCACCCTAAGGAGCCTGCAGTAGCAGGCAGCATTTTAATGCCTGACCTCTCCCTCCAGTCATACAGCTCTGAAGCCGATGCCATGAATTTTTGCTAAATTATGCTATCCTTGCTCTCCTCTTAATTTTACGGTTTTCAACACAGATTTGCTTTCCTGTGGGAAGGAGATAAGAAGCTGAGGATTTTAATTTAAGCCCTGGCCTTGTCTTATATTTTGCAAGATGGATAGCGCAGGCAGTACTAGTAGGTGTGTTAAAGCCAACAAGTATTACGTCCATTTTAGTGGCCAAATAATAAAAGTAATATGAAATCTTGATAACACACGTGGGCAGAATTCTAAGGGTCCTATTTTTGCCTCCTGCTGACTATCTCCGCTGTGAGTATCCATGGAACAGAATGGATCCCGGCTCCACCGCAGACACCTGACACCGTGCCAGACAGCGAAACGCCCCCAGTCCTAGGCAGTGGGCGTCCGATGCCCAAGTCCCTGCCTTTGGTATCACGCCATTCGCACATAGTGTGAGCTCTGCTACCTCAGCTGAATTCTCACACAGTATGGCCACTCTGAATCCCACTCTTCTACAATGTGACGCACAGTTATATGCACAGTGGTGGACCCGTGTGTGCATTTACAAAGCAGCCGAGGTGTCCCAGACACTACTGTAGCATCGATGCCAAACCCAAGCATGAAGGCCTTGTTCTCTTGCAGCTTGCTTCCTGGTATCTAGAAGCTGGGATAGACAGCAAGGGCCAAGTAACGGGGCAAACAGGATGTTTTAAAAATAAAACAAGCCAAATCTAAAAGAGAAAGCATCGAGTATTGTGAAGAAAGTGACCTGGTTGATGGGTGAGGTGGTATAGATCTACACCCACGCCTTCGCATAGTGGCACAGCTGTAAGAAGCCCTAAGCCAAGGAGTCCAGATACTTTCTAAGGGAAGCCGAGAAACAGGGGCGCTGAAGCCAGGGCCCTCGCAGCACTCAGCACCGCTGCCCAGTGACACCACAGAAACAGAGCCCTCTTGACAACTTGCACTGCCACTGCAGGGAGGAGAAAGGAGCCCTAGGCCTCTTACTCCATGCTGGATGCCAGACACCCAGAATCTCCCTTACTGTAAGCAGGTCTCCTGATCCCTCCTCAGAAAGGAAGGGGTGGGGACAGTGGGGCTTTAGTAACAACCAGGGCAGCCACCACTGACAGAGGTGCTGTGTGCTCAGTCTCCGCCCTCGAGACAGCCTTGGGGGTGGGTACTATCATCAGCTCCCTTGCGTGTTGGGGTTGGGCTGGGAGAAGCTCAGTGAGTTTCCCCAGGGCATGGAGCTGACCGCCTGGATGGTCCCCAACCAACACATGTGACATCTGTGAAACACCATGTGGTCTCTGTCCTGACCCAGGGCTCACAGTGGACAAAGAGGGACCTCAGCATGGTGGTTACAGTTGTGGAGACTCAAGGGCTGCCTCTCTGCAGGATGAGGCCATTCTGGGATGTGGCCTGACTGCTGCCCCGTGGGGCCATGCAGGTGACACCATAGCTGATAAAAACCCACAGCGCCTATGGACACCAAGCAGGCACCACTTAGCAGCCTGAGCACAACTCTCACAGCAGCGTTCCCAGAAATGACCCACTTGCACTGGCAGGAGCTGAAGGTGCTGTGAAAGCCCTCAGCCTTGGAGGATGTGGTTCTGGGAAGGGTGGAGGGCAGCTCAGCTTCCTGCTGGGAAGGGGCCCAGGAGCCAGGTCCCCTGCACCCATCCTGCCACCAAGTCAGAGTGCAGGGCGGGCCCGTAAGAGACGCCTCCGGCCCAGTCCTGGGCAGTTGGCATTTATCTCATTCGCGGTGCTCTTGGTAACCACTGAGTACAGACTGAGGATGAGGAACAATTCCACCTCACTGCAGCCCTGCTGTGGCCCTGGGTTCTCTCACTGGACTCCGCAGCTGCCTGGTGCTCGCGAAGCAAAGCTATATCCTCACCCTAGCCACCCTGTGTCCACGCCCCGCACACTCATGTGGACACGTGAATTCTCGCCTCGCTCCACCTTGAAGTCCATGCTCTGCACTGCACACAGCTCCTGTGTAACCAAGCCAAGGGCTTAGGGCAGGTTGCTGTGGCTTTCAGATGTGCGGTGTCCCTGGCTCTGATGCAATCCATGTAACCAGGAGTGCTCCCAGCTCTGCAGAGCAGACTGCAGAGGCTGCCATCCACGCCACTGTCTGGGAAGGGCTCCTTCAGACAGACACAGGGTGCTCTGGGAGGTGGGTCCTTCCATGCACAGCAGCAAGTGGCCCTCTGGGCAGGAACAGTCCTGCCACTGCTAACCAGATCCACTGTCCCACTCCTTTTACCCCACACCCGTGGCGCCTGGCTGCCCTCCGCCTGTCCCAAGCCAACCTGCTCAGTGAGCACGGCCAGCTGCGGCTCCACTGGACAGGAGCACTCGGCCATTCAGAGGTGACTGTCATCACCAAGGGACCCAGAAGGGCCATTGGCAAGGCTGCTTTAGAACAAAGCAAGCCCTGAGCCCTCGCTTCACTCTTTAGTGACAGTGATGGCAAACCTTTCAGAGATGCGTGCCCAGACTTCAAGCCCAAACCCATTTGTTTATCAGTGCAATTAAACCTGCATCTCCCACACTCGGCTGCTAGGGCCACACTGGAGCGACTCAGCTCATGCCGACAACGAGGGCCCTGGGCCCTGGGTGCTTCCCTACTATACAGAGACACCTGAGTTTCTTGGACTCTGTCCTCATCTGCAAAATGGGAAAACATGACTCAGGATAAGGAACAGTGCAAAAAGGAACACCTAACGTGGGTCCTAGCCAGAACATGTGCTTAAGAAACACTAGTGGAATGGATTAAAAAGAGGACACTGACCCAGAAGGTGCATTAGCACATTTTCTTACAGGAGAAGCCCAGAGTATAAATAACATAAAAAGCAAAACAAAAAGGCAGACCACAGGAAGCAGGGAGGTAGGACTTGTGCAGATGGGGAGAGGAGAGGGAGGGGAAACAAAAAGGGCTGAAGGGGATGAGGGTGAGCACCAGCTCCCTGGGGAGAGCAATACAGTCAGTGTACTTGTTCGGTGTTGTGGGCCAACAGCAATAAAAAGTGGGGGAGGAGAAAGACGTCCAACTGATAAACAGAATGCTCCAAAAGCTTGAATCACTCCTTTAAGACACACTAAATTTAAAAAGGTTTCTTTCAGATGAA